CCAGTTCTTCTCGAGCGTTCAGAGAGAGTAAAGTTGTAGAGTGCGAAAAACTTTCTCCACATATCGACAGCCCAAGGAAAGTAAAGGAAAAATGAAAAGCCGAGCCGAGCACAGAGGCAACTTTGCGTGCTTTTGTGCATCGTGCTTTTGTGAGCGGCAACTTCGTTTGTGCCCATTTTGAAAATCAGAAATATGCGAGGGTTTGTGTTCAGGATGTGTGTTTGGCATACATTAGCATCTCTTGTGTGTGCTGCATACATTTAGGCGCAGCGCAATGCAGTGCACAATTGCTTATGAAATTGAGCAAACAAAATTGTGGAATGCTGTAAAATGGCAGCTAATGAGCCGTGTTGCACTTAGAGGTTAATGCGAAAAGGGCTAAACTTCATGGAGTTTGAATTTACAGTTCAAAAAAGCATGGTCTTCCAATACTTTTTTTTTATCGAATTCCATTTACGTACAGTTCAGAACGTTTATGAAAAGATTATGGTGGCAGCATTTTGGTATAGGTGCTTTTCAAATCCTCATCATAATTTACGGTTTTTCAACGTTCATTTCTAACTCTTGCTGCTAAAGAAAACTTGAAGTTTTTATGATTTGCTTGAGAAATATTGATGGAGCCATGAATAATAAAAAACAGCTTCCTCCCGTCAGCCTTCTGGAAGGAAACAAACTCATTAAAAGGTTGCCGGCTAGTCAACCAGTCAACAACTTTGGGCCACAAAACAAGCCATTAAAAAATGTTTAGTACATCGACTATGGGAGAGACAGCCACAGAAAAAGCAACAGAAACGACAGCCAACTGCCAAACAAGTTGACGGCAGAGAAAAAAAGAAGCACAAAATTGAAGGCAAATGTTTAGTGGAAGTTTAGCAGAGTGGCGAAAAGTTGGAGCAACAGCGAAAAAAAAAACACAAAAGTCCCCTAGGGCACATTTGAGGGGTTTTCCCCCTTCCACATCCAATCACCCTCACCTGTCACCTGTGGAAAAAGCCGCCAACGGCCGAAAGTCCTTCATCCCTGTTAGCCCTGCTCGTGTATCCTTTTTGTGCCCTGTTCATGTAAATTGAAAACAGTCGCGAAACGGCATCAAGAAAGCGAATGAGGCAATGAAATGGGCTTTGTGCCCTTGTGTGTAAATTAAAAATTAACTGTCGCCGGGGATAAATTTTCAAATTGTATGAACGACACGAATGGCAGCAATTGTTTGTTAAATAAATTCATTTTTTGAGTCGAATAAAAGTCGAATAAATAAAGACGGTATTCACGATGTAAGCTGGTCTGTCGGCAACCACTTTTTAATGTTATAAATGTACATTAAGCATGTGTGTATATAATATATATAAATATATCTATTTTTATGCTGACAATTACACTGAGACATTCTTTTACAGTTCATATAAACATCATCTGGTAATGGTGGCAGCCTTATACTTTATACTATACTGTGTATATACCGCCCACTTTTATACATTTCCGTTCATATACTTTCACATAGATTCTCAGAGGGCAGTCGTGCATATCTGGAAATAAACTTCAAAGCATTTAACATCTGTCCATTGACCAAGAACGCCCCGACTCGCCGGCGATGTAATCTACACAATGGTATGGCAGAGTTTTAATTGCTATGACACAGCCAAGACACGGCTGACTGGATAAGGGATACAGAGTGGTGATGAAGGGATCGGAATAGGGATTCAGACTGGGATTGGTTTGCGGGATCGGCTGGGTCGTTTTGCCGTTGTCGTTTTCTAATTTGATAAAGATAAAAATCATTTTGTAAACGCCCCCAACGATGTCGCCGTCAAATGTGCATGGCCCTGACAGACGGGCAGGCCAAAAGGACGGACACCGAAAACAGGACACTCCCATTCTAGGACACGCTTTCGCAGCTCCTTGGCTGCCGCTTAATTGAATGCTCATTTCAACGAGGTCCAGCTCCTCTGCTCTGCAACATCGCTGGGTTTAATTGCATTTTTATTTCATTTCCCAGCAATTATCGCAAGTTCGTGTGCAAATTCTATAAAGCAGAGCAGAAGAAACACGGGGAGAAAGCTTATCTAACATCAGCCCGAAGTGCTATTATATAAATAATAATAGTCATATTTATTGATCAAAACATCTTCATTAAAATTATTTCACCATAAAAAGGGATTAGCAAATGAAATTGATTTTAATTTTAAATTTAAATATTAATCGGAAATAGCTGTAAACTAACTGTTTACTAACTGTATTCTTTTCAAAAGTAAAAAAAGGAATATTTGAATATTTGAATTTTTGAATAGATTATCAATATTTATCGAAATGATAGCAATGAAACGGCGCCTTTTGAAATAAATCTCTATCCTTCCCATTTGATTTTCTTGCAGTGCGGGGTACACTAGCTTGAAGCGTTGAGGATGTGGCACCTGCAACATCCCAAAGCCAAGAGGTCAATCGTGTCATGAGTGTATCTGGGCCATGTGCAACTAGTTAGCAGCTTGTGTGAGTGTGCAGAAGTGTGGTCCGGTGTCCTGCGAAACCGTAATTAAAGGTAGCCAGGACTTTTAGCCAGCTCCTTGCCAGTTGCTGCTGATATTTATTGTCGTAGCTGCGCTTTCTGCCCTCTTATTGTCAGTGCAAGTCCAAGTTGCTGCTGTTGCTGTTGCTGCGAGTTGTTAGCAAAGCAATTAGCATGAGTTTGTTATTGCAACACACGGCAAGGATTCGGCAGAGGATAGATAGAAAGTTGCTGGGGACACGGCGACCATGTCCGGCACCTGCTGAAAGTTTTACCCCGAACCCAGGGGCGAAATGCGCTGCTCCGAATGCCAGCAAATACGAATTTAATTTATTTACTCTGCAGCGGGAAAAGTGCTGGCAAATAGCCATGTAGCGCTTAACACTCCATAAACAAATCACAAGTAACTGAAACCTATGAAATAGATATGTACCTACTGGTTGACTACGGTTTGTGCAATTGGAGGTATATTTGGAGTCATTTATCATACATATAATAAAGCATTTGCATCTTTTTAAAGGTGTAAAGCCATGGACCAAAAATATACCGTGCCAATCAGATATATATATATATAATGTAGGTAATACCGTGAAATGAATTGCTAAGGGAAATGACCCAAGCGGGTCGTAAAGGCTCGTTTTCAAAGGACACCTCACCCCTTTGATCAACTCTCAACCATTTTCCAATCAGTTTTTCTTACGCCAATTCCCTTTCATATCGAGCTCCATAGGTTTTCGAACCATGGCTTAGATTTAGTGCAACTTTCGCCTCCCCAATCCCAAAGTCTGAGCCATCTCATCACTTACTTCTTTCTTTCGGGGTAACCTTCAGCACCTTTTAAGCCGCTTGCCGTGTCCTTCAATGCCTCAAAAATCCCATTCAACCTCCGCCTCCCGGCGGAATCTGTTGCTTTGTTATCCTGGCCCTCTTATATTGCATTTTATTCACTCGATGGGGAGTTCCTACTCCGCTTGGCTGCATTTCCTTTGGGGGAAATGGGGGTTTGATTTTGGTTTGCTGCTTTTGCCACTGCCAGCTTCATCGTGGATTATGCAAAAAGTTTTTCATTAATGTTGGATTTAGATATTTTTTCACGCTCTGCAACTCTGCATCCGCAGCCCTCCTGGTGAGAGCATTTTTTCGCCAAGCTATCTCGATTTGGGCTCCCCATTTCCCCACAGCTCTCCTCCCAAATCCTCTTTTTTCCTGCGTTTTGGTTGTTGACAACGCAACTTTGGTCCCAGGATACGTTAACTTTTGTGCACCACAGCGTGCTGCAGCGCCGGGCTCAGTGCAATGAAAGTTGGCACCACAAAACACAGATACGTTCGGATAGATATTTAGACAGCTAGACAAACACTTAACAACAGAACCCATGAAGATGCCGCGCAGCAAATTTGCTTCACAAGTGATCTGGCAAATGGAGAATGAATTAAGGGAAAACGCGCCATGATTTCGAATGTCGTTTAGTCCAGCAAAATGCTGTAGAGAAATTTTATTTTCTAAATGAAATATCGACGGTAATATTACCCCCTTATCAATAATAACCATTTCAAAGATAGTCAAGGATTTATTAATTTTCTTTTTTGAAATATTATCTGGTGTTATATGTATATATATTGTATATAAATTACAAATAGGTATATGTTTAATTAGTTAAATTAATTAAATTTTGTTTTTAAAAATATTTTTTTTATTAAATTGTTTGAAGATAGCTCTAAGTTCTGTGCACTGCCACATACCACTTTGCTACATTTTTTTTTACCCATTGCAACATAACTTGGACCTTCTTTCTTTCCCTATATATATATTTATTCTTTTTCCGTATCTGGTCGGGGTTGTGTGGTTGTTTCTTTGGAGACACTTTTGCCGCTTTGCAGTGCAAATTGTTGGGTTTGTCGTTCTTTTTTTGAGTTTTATTCTTATGGCATTTTTTGTGCGGTTTTATTTTCCTTTGTGGTGTTTTCGATTTATCTGCAAGGATTCGGTGGAAAGGGGGCCTAAAAGCACCCATCTTCTTTCGCGTTTCAGCATTTATTTGAGTGTGTAAACTTTTGCTACTTGAATTTTTCGGGGATTTTCCTGTGGCAATTTCACAGTTGGCCATGCCCCATACCCACATTCCCCCTTACGTTGCCAACTTTGATAGTTTTGTCAAAAGTTTTTATTGCGATTTGTTGCAGCTGCAAGTCCAAGTCTTGTAAAAGTAATGCTTATACAAAACGAGAAGCAAAAATGCTGGAATTCCCCAAACTGATATTTTTGTGTGTAAGATGACAATGAGGAAACATTGAAGTTTTCAAGGGCATTTTGAGCGCCATGTTGTGGGCTCTCTAAAATATCTTTTGGGGGCTAAGTGCATTACAGTTTGTACTTAAAATAGTAGTAAAATAATAAGTTATTTTAAATAGAAACCTAATTCGATGTTGCCAGAAAGACTTTGCGGCCAATCAACTTCTTAAAAAATATTGGTTAGACACCAAAAAAAAAGACGGCTGGCATAATGGATTTGAAATATGAAGTTTAATATTTTGCCATTATCAGTGATTATAGTTTCATTTTTTAATTGTTTTATATAGTTTGTAATAGTAAATGAGTAAGGTCGAGAAGAGCAATAACTTAAAGTACTTTTAGCTAATACGAATGTTTGGCTATATTAACAAGACACTCCCTTCACTTGTTATCACAATTCTCGATGACCACCACATCGCCGTAGTTAGGAGGCGGTGTCTCCGGTCTTACCGCCACACTTTCAGCCACAGCCGTATAGAATCTGGCCGTAGAAGTTGGCGGTTCAGAGGGAGAACTCGGCTCCCGGTCGCGACTGGTGAAGAGGTTACTCCGACTGAGGCGCCTTATGAGAGTGGCCGTGTTCTGATTGATGGTCCGGTAGTACTGACTGCGGGCCGGACGACCAAAAAGTCGGGACACAAAGCTGTCCTGCGGTCCGTAGGGTTGTCGAACCACGGCATGCGATGCAGTACTACGGCGACTCTGGGGATTGGAGCGCCTGGGGTTGCGAGTACGCTGTGGTGACCAGGTGTGGATAGTGGGCAGGCTACCCTGCGAAGGGTCCAAAGCAGCTGGGGGAAACAAACAAGGAAGAACTCTATCAAATATTGGTCAATCAGGCTGTTAAGCAGACCTACCTGAATCCCCAGTGGCCATTCCCGGGTCACTTTTCTTTTTGCGCATCTCACAGCAACTCTTGAGGCATAGGACAAAGGTGATGATGAAGATGACCATGCAAATGCCCGTGGCTCCGCCCACCACAAAGGCCAGCTTCAAGTCATCCTCATCGTAGGTGTGTGTGCGTATGATTTCATCTTGCAATTGGGAGTTTCCGCCAGCCAGGAGTTCATGGCTCACACGCTCCAAGCAAATGCGGTATCTCAGGCACAGTTTCTCCCGACTTCCAGTGCACACATCGCTAACCGATGAACCCTGCTCGTCGTCTTGCTCGCTGTTCTGCTCCTCACTGGAGTCCAGTTCCCGCCAGACGGACAGCACGGATTGGGGTTCTCGGGTGCTGGGCTCCACGTACTCCATGCTTTCAAACTTGTCATTTTTATTGGGAAAATCCACAGTTTCCGCATCCGCCTGGTGATCCTGAACCGTCTCCTCCATGCAGTCGCTCATGAGAATGGCCACCCCACGCTGTCGCAATCCAGTGGCCACTTTGGTCAGTGCCTGATCGCAATTGAAGGGATTTTCCTCAACATTCAGTGACGCCAGGTAGCGGGGGGCATGGAAATCGCCAGGACTCAGGGTTAACAGCAGATTCTGCGCCAAATCCAGTTGGCGCAGTTGAGGCAGGGCACTCAGAAGCTGAGTTCCAAGTTGATTTACCTGCGAGTTGCGCAGATTAAGAGAGCGAAGCGATGGACTTCTTAAAATGGGTCCTTTTCCCAGAGTGGACAACTTATTGCCTTCCAGGTTGAGATGAATCAGTTGATTGTTGGATTCCAGGATATGTTCGTCGATCTGCTCCAGGCGATTGTACGAAAGATCCAAGTAACGTAGTCTGGTCAACTCCGCAAAAGCATCTCCATAAAGTGTGTGGATGGCATTGTGGGCCAAGGTAAGATTGAGCAGGTGGATGGTGATCTGCAGGAAAAAACAATGTATTAATATACGTACAACTATTCTTTTCCATTTATGATGACCTACTTTAAAGGAGTCATCATCGATAGTGGTTATATCATTGTAGCTCAGGTCCAACAGCTCAACCGTTGTGGGAATTTCAATATTGGCGCTTATCAAGCGCTTTGCCCTGCACAAAGAAGTAGATATAATAAAATTCAAACCGAATTAATTCCCCAAATCCGATGATAACTCACCTGCAAATTGCGCGGTTGCTCTGGGCGTATAAGTCACAGTGGCAAACAGTGGGGCAGAACATCTGCGATTGGGTCTTACTCCTGCAGACCTGAAGAACAACACATAGCAAGAGGCCTACGTATAGAAGGATCTGCTTAAGACCCAACCACATTTTTGGCTTTGTGACACATTGCAGAGCCATAAGTTAGGTTCAAATACTATTTTCACTAGCTTCAATTACACTTTTTCGTCATTTTCGAGATACTTAGTTTCTGTATGCTTGGTAGTTCTGGACTGACTGACTCGTCTCCCCGTTCACTTCATGACTAACAGATGAGCTGCTTTCCAGTGGTGGGTTGCCTTACATAAACTGAAATCGGTAAATATATTAAAGAACGAAATTCATCCGGTTATTAATGTGCTCGGCTTGCGCTCTACACTTCCACTGAAGATAAGATAAGCGTTTTTTATTATCTTATCAGCGACTATGTTCGTGATTCGATGAAAGAGCGTTAAGTTTCGGCCTTTTGTTTGTTTGGAAAATGCAGAGTTATAAAATTTGGGTTATATTAGTTGCTTATCATTTCCTTATCTTCAACATATGGGTATTTTTCGTGATATTCATAGATATTTAGTTATTTTATCCTTAGAGATGAAATCTATCAGCTGAGGATGTTCAGGAATCGAGTGTTAAATAATCGTTAAGCGTAATGCTTATAATTTTAATTGATATGTCAAAAGATTCAAAGACAGGGCAAACTTCAATAGCTTAGAATTTCATTGTACAAAGTCGAAAAGAAATTTTGATATTCATTTTTGACCTTGATGTATATTGCTATTTTTACAATTGAATCGGACACTTGTACATGGTATTGAGTCGTCTGATATCGGTATCGCTCATCATCAAGCGCTGACCCATTTGCTCCTGACCCTCTGGATTCAGAGCCACAATGGTCGCTTCGCCATTTACTGAAAATGCCAAGGAACTGTAGTGTAGAATGCTTCCGTAGTCATAGGGCTGATCGAAATCCCCCACTTCGTCTTCCTCGTACTTGACAAAGTTCTTCTCGTGACCCTCCGAGATGTTCTCCTCCACGATCTTTACGAACTCATCTCGATTGGGGGAGCACTGCTGATGGTGGAATCCCAGAGTGTGAAGCAATTCGTGCTGGACGGTTCCCAGTTTGAAGCAGCCTGTGTCCAATGGGTCAGGCCGAAGTTTGACGGTTCTTTGACCTGGCTGATAGCCCACTTTGGAGCTGCATCCAGAAGTGGAAGGAAGCACAAAAAGATAATTTTCCTCATCCTCATCAGCAGGCACAAATCGAATACAAGACGAATACTCGATGAATTGCATGCCAAGCTTTATATATTCCACATGAGCAGGGTCTGAAAAGTAAAATGTTAAATAAAATGAGTTTGTAAATTAGTTAGTCAGCCATCCAATCAACCGCTATCTTACCAAACTCTTCAGATATCATATACGGAACTGTGGCATTTGGCCAGCGTCGTGTCTCGGACAGCTGACCATTCCGGGTGTAGTCCACATCCATGTCACCCTGGAAGTATCCTGCCGTCAGCTCTGGATCTGTTTCCTCATAGTGGGTGTTAAAGGGTGCTGGGAAAATGCCAGAACACAGCGTGCCCAGCAGAAACAAGTGAAACCAAGCACCAATCATTTTTGACTGAATTAACGCGAATTAACGGCTTATATACGATCAATTATCGCAGAATGTGCGGCATTAAGAACTACTTGTGATTGATTAGTGATAAGAGGCCGCATAATATAAAATACATCTACGGACATTCGCACAAACGGTGGGTGCTGAAGTACTTCAATCCGTTATTACCGAATGCCAGATAAAATTTGCACTATTTGCAAATAGTGGAAAAGCTCACTGGCAAAGAAAAGAAAATATTATTATATGTAAGTGGAGGAATGAACTTGCATCTCATCTGCTTATCATATAATCACTATATAAAATATATACATTTTTTATTTGCTTTAAATTTGGGTAAACAGTTGCGCGTTTATTGAAACCTAAAAAGAGTTTGGGATTACAGCAAGCACAATGTTTTAAGGCGACAAGTTGGCAGTCAATTTGTATTCCTGTGGGGAAAAGTATTAGTTTTCCTTAAAGATATGTCTGTGTTTTCTCCCACTGGACAAGTTGATCGTTAGCCAGCGAAGCTCGAGGCTACTTAGCAGCCCAGCTTGCGCTTCCGTTTGGTCACAGTTCCAGGCTCAGTCCCATTCCCATTCCCATTCCTATTCTCGTTCCAATTCTCCTTCCCATGGCAAGATGTAATGGCTGAAAGTCCACTCGTCCGCTCTTCCCCATTTCCCTCTGGTGAATCTGCTTCCGCACTTGGTTTGTTGGCTTTAATTTATGGCCATGGCCAGACGATTGCGCCTGAGTCTTCGACTGAGACTTCCACTGCAACTGCAAAGGCGCCTTCTGTCAGTCATAGTGGGCGTGGCCAGTCGTCGTCACATCCGCTGTTTGTCAGGGCTTGGATTGTGTGGACCCTTTTTGGCCCACTCCATTTCCACAGCACCTCCCATCGTATGATCACCGCAACGGGCCACAAAAATGGAAACTTTTTCACACACATTCTCAGCTCTTGCCGCTCGGGATTTTTCAGTTTTGTGCTTAAGCCAGCCGGCCTGGTCCGTCGGAAATAGTTAACTTTTATGCGCATTTCAAATCGAAAAGTTTTGCATTCAAACTTTATTAAAATTACGCTCGATGCACGTCCAATTGTGCCCGCCATCCAACTGCTGAACAAATCCACTCCGAACTGTTGGTCGCCATCTTCAATGCCATTGTCGCGAAGGTCCGCAGAGGTTGGTTTTCTTTGTTGCAATGCCGTTGGTAGCTAACTGGGCATTTGGACATGGAGCTGAAGTAGGACTCATTGGATAAGTTCAGGCCACTTAAATTACGATGCTGCCCGATAGGAAACACTATACTTTTATCTATTCCGCCTGAAGTTTAGAATAAAGAGTAAAAGCTCAAGAGAGAAGCCCGCTCCCTTAATGCATTAAAATACAAAAGGTGGTTTAGAATCATATTAACATTATATACAGATTGGCTTTACTAGTAAAGCTATTACTTTGTATACAACAAAAACCCATACCACTGATCTTTAAGCTTAAATTATATGTTGAATAAAGTTATGGATTTGATGAGTTATTTTAATTTTATATTTTGGAGATTTTTGGAGTACTGCCTTGGTTAATTCCGTAATTATCTCGCTGCAAATTCTCCCAGTAAATTCGAAAGTGCATTCCATCTTCCTCCATGTGGAAAGTAAATTTCGCAGTTTTTCCCTACTGCACATTTGCATTATTGTTTTGACTGCCGGCGCCTTTTTGTGCCCATTCCCGAGTCCCTGTCCCTCCTTAACCCTGCTCTTGGCCAACAGTTCCCGCACTAATGACCGACATTGCTTCCTAATTACAAAAGTTTTGCATGCACTCGTTGCAAAAGGGAGGATGGTCGTATTGCTTGCCGAAAATGGCTAAAAAAAATCCAACTTTTAAGTTTATTTTATGTTCCTTATTTAACATTGAAGCGCTTAAAGTTGAGCTTTTCATATGGTTTTTAGTGGCCATAACTAACGACTCCATTAGCCCAAGGCGGCCGCAATACATATGTTTGAGCAGTAAAAAAATGGGGGTAAGCCAAACAACAACAAAAATTGGTTGGCAGTGGACAAGGAGCACTAACACTCAGTACATTACAGTTGCACATATATCATGTGACACAGGCTGACCCAGGAACTGGCCGGATCCCGATCCTAGAGTCCGCTCCTTCCATCCATAGGCCGCACTTAATGATAAACAATGCTTGCGGTCAGTTTAACAAGCCGCGCTATTACCCTGCCTCTCCTCCCAGCCGCCCTTCGTCCTTGGCCCACCACCCCTTGTGGCAGGACCAACAAACCCACTCCCGCATAACGAGTGGACAATTTACACGCTGAAACTGAACGACAGCGGAAATCCGGAGGCGGCGCTTGGACTTATTGATACCTAAAATCTTGGGAGAACGACCTGTTAACCTGAAACCCATGAGATCTAAACCGCATAATAGCTTAAATAAACGTGATAACTAGTCTATTAGCGCTACGGTAAACGCTTTTTACAAATCAGTTTACAATCAACAGATGTAGCCATTTACAATTGCTGTCATTCTAAATACCCTTCTTCTGCAGCTTGGCAAAACATAGATGTGTATAGCACTCTTAAAGTCCACGATACCCTAATAATTCCACACCGAGTGTAGCCGTCCAACCAAGGAAAAGAAGAAGCGACAAAAACAGCATGCTTAAAAGAGCAGTAAATGAGAATTTATCCACTTGCTGACCAACGAGACGCCCCTATTCCCATTCCCATTCCCGTTGCCATCCTCATCCTTCAGTGCCACGCCCCCCATTCGCAGGCGGAGAGATAAAAACCGGGGGCGGAGATATAGGGGGTGTATAACTGGCGGACACACGCACATCGTAAAGTTTTAATCGGATGTTGTCCAGCTTTACATGACGCCATCTACTGGCTTAGAGTGCAATATCCTGTGGCACGCGATAACATCGAGCAAAAGAGTTGGGTGGCAGTGGCCGAGACCTCGTACAAAGGACGATGGAAGCGATATGGGCAAGGGTGTGGAGGGGCGTGTGGAAGGAGGGGCGTTGCCACCCTTGTTTATGCGAAACGCCCGGCCGAAACGCTTCTGGCCCTTTGCTTTTTGACGGCATTTGGCATTGCCAGTGCCACGCACAACAACTACAAGGATCCGCCAGGATGCCCAGCAGTTTCATCTATGGTCCACAAAGTCGGCACAGTTTCGGGCCCGGCTGCAGATACAGTTACACAGATACAGATACAGATGCCAAGGCTAAAGCCAAAGCAACAGCCGCTACAAAGGCTTAAAAAGCGCTCAGCACGAGAAAAAATGAGCGGATCACTGGGAGGGAGAAAGACAAAAGGATGTTGCTTTTAAAGCCGAATTATTGAGTCTCTGCAAAGTGGTCAATTGTCATTCTTTTTATCCAATGATAAGCCTTAAGTTCATTTTTTTAAACAAGGTGGTATTTGCAACTTAGAAGCTATCGCATTTTTAGCAAGGATATGCAAATTACTTTTAGTTCATACATATATGTTGTCTTTTTTTTAGTTCCTATTTAAATGTTGTTCAGATATTTGTATAAGTTTGTATATTTAATTTGCTTCATTACTGTATTAATCTATATGGAGTCGACTGACTTGACCCTTACCCAGGAGAAATTTCAGACAAAGGACATTGGTAATTTAAATTTATAAGAAATATTCCCACGACGGCCCTATTATGCAATAGTTGTACCAAAGCCTGTTTGAGAACTTGGACTTCAAGTCAGCATGGCGACAAGGCTCATAAACAATACATTGTATCCTTGCCGGTAAAGTGCATACAAAACGGAAGTGAAATGTGTGGCTCTCGTTGTTTTCTGGACTTCGGTCAGCCGCTTGGCTAGACGCACACTTGGCTGGATGTCCAGGATTGTCGGGATTTTGCAGAGCGGAGTGGACTTCTGCCATTACACACGAAAGCAACCCACTGAACCACCAAGGCAACGAACCTCGTTGTCATTGTCGTGACAGGAAATTAAGATGAATGTGGCGAGCAAACTGCAGTTTCTACGCCGGAGTCTCCAGCTCCTGGAGTCCTCGATGGTGTCCTTTAAACATCGCCCTCAGCCCGCTGTTTTGGCCCTGTTGCCTTATTGTCGTTTTTCTATTCGGTTAGACAAGCGAGAGACAGACGGCTGCCTCTTAAAATATTCATAACACAAACTGTTGCCACTATCTCCACTGCAGACCGCAGCGGATGCAGGCGGACCGGCACAAATGGCATCGCTGGGAGTAATTCGTGAAAGCTGGAAAAGCTGGGAAAGCTGGGAAAGCGTGCGAAAGTTGCGCGTTTGAATTAATTGATTTTTATGAATTTGTTAACTGAGTTTTTCATACCGCAGTTGTCAGAAGGGAGTTTACGGCTGCGGAAATGCCGGCTTCATAAAAAGTGCAAAAATATGTCACGAATTAACAATGTTTTAAATGACAGAAATTTGAGCAAGGTTCGTAATTGATACGGAAATTTATTCTTGTTTTTGTAGCTTCCCCCTTTTAGTTATGAGCTCAATGCATGCTTAAATTATATACACAATCACTTTTAATCATTGTTTGGTCCCCATTAAATCTAGGATAATAAATCAAACTTGATTCATAAATTATACACTACATGTTTATGTTTGTACATTTTTAAATCTAACACTATGTATTTATATCCGTTACTGGTAGAGTAAAATAATGTACTAGATTCGTTGAAAATTCGTTGTTCTCTTGTTATTTACTGCGTTTAATGGGATTGAATTTAGTTAGCCGAAATACGTTATTTGCAATTTGCTCTCGTGAATGTCGAAAATGAAACCTTCATGTTTAAGGGCCCCAAAAACCATGTATGTCAATACACATTTTTGAATAACAATAATTTTAAATTAGTTTATAAATTTAATTGGACTGTTTACCGCTGCTTACATCATTACCTGCGTTTAATACCTCCAATAAAGGCCAATTCCCCGGTGGTGGTCCCGAAAGTTGTCTCAATTATATGAGGACAAGCCATTACACCGTAAATGAGGC